TAAATCTATAAATTGCTTTGGGTAATATGGCCATTGTCACAATATTGATTCTTCCTATCCATGAGCGTGAAATGGTTTTCCATTGTTTTGTGTCCTCTCTTATTTCCTTGAACAGTGGTTTGTAGTTCTCCTTGAAGAGGTCCTTCACATCCCTTGTAAGTTGTATTCCCAGGTATTTTATTCCCTTTGTAGCAATTGTGAATCGAGTTCACTCATAACTTGGCTCTTGGTTTGTCTATTGACGTATACGAATGGTTGTGATTTTTGCACATTGATTTTGTATCCCGAGACTTTGCTGAAGTTGCTTATCAGCTTAAGGAGTTTTTAGGCTGAGACAATGGGGTTTTCTAAATATACAATCATGTCATCTGCAAACACAGATAATTTGACTTCCTCTCTTCCTATAGGAATATGCTTTATTTCTTTCTCTGATTGCCCTGGTCAGAACTTCCAATACTATGTTGAATAGGAGTCTTGTGCCAGTTTTCAAAGGGAATGCTTCCAGCTTTTGTCCATTCAGTATAATATTGCCTGTGGGTTTGTCATAAATAGCTCTTATTATTTTGAGATATGTTCCATCAATACCTAGTTTATTGAGAGTTTTTAGGATGAAGGAATTTTGAATAATATTGAGTAACTGAACACCAACATGGCTTCACATTACTCCAACAGTGAAATTGCTCATATGAAGATCACCAGTAAGCTCAAAAGGCCTCATCTGCCTTCATTATTTGACCTCTCAGTAACTTTTAAAGTATCAGATCATGTTCTATGATCAAGACATTTTCCTTTCTCACTTCTTGATGACACCACATAAAACTAGTTTTCTTCCTTTTCACAAGCCAACTTTTTGGGTTTGTTTTTTTGTTTGAGACAGGGTCTCACCCTGTCACCCAGGTAATACATCCGAAATGATAGACTTGAATAGGAATAGTAATTGAAAGTCCAAGACTTCAGATCTGTCAGTAGATAATTTTAGACTCAAGCCTGGAATAGGTCACTTGCTAGCTGGGAGCCTAGGCAAGATATTTTACTTTCTAATTCTCAGTTTCCTCATGAGTAAAATGTGGGCACTAGAGTTATCGGTTGGTAAGGATTAAATGAGCTGGTATGGTAATAGCTTAGTCACACCACACTGTTCTCAGAATATTTCATTTCAGTTTAATGAATATGGGTCCTTATTGTACAAGGGATTAAGATAAATTTATAGAATAAATTTTCTAACTACAACTTCTCACCATCATATAGTTTTTAACCTCCATGAGGAATATGAGTTCAACATCTCTATAACTCTTAATATAAAATATTGAACTGATATGATTTGACTCTGTTTCCCCACCCAAATCTCATAAAGAATTTTAATCCCCACCCTAACCCTAACAACCCTAACCCTATGCTATCCCTAACCTAACTGAAAATGTTAAGAGCCTAACAATTGAGTGAATAAATGATGACTGATCCTAAAGCAATTAAGTAAATAATTCATTAGGGAATTATTAAAGAATTAAGAATTAATATTCCACAAATACTCACTGTGTCTCAATGATGCTCCTTGGTGTTCCCAGGCTTTTCTTAACCACCCCCACTTAAGCTTTGCAACCACCCCATGGCAGGTCCTAGCACCATCCCCATTTTACAGGTGAGAGGTTTGTGAACCTGCCTAGGGTCACACACCTGGGCAGTGTCAGGCCTGAATTTGAGCAGGCACAGGTGGTGTCAGGAGAGACGCTGATGTCATAACAGTACGAGGAAAAGGAGGAGCAGAAGGGAGCAAGGCGTGATGGCCAGACATGCCATGGGCTGACCCTACATGAACTCTGCCCCACAGCTGGCCAGGCCACACTTTTCCTGTCCTTACATCGAGTTCTCACTTCATCACAGGAAGAGCACGGAGCGCAGGGAGAGTGTCCAAACAGCACTGGTACGGACTAGGAACTAGAGACTTCGGCTATCACCGACTCAGTGAAAACCAATCAGACAAAACACTAGAAATAAACCACAGGGACAGCTGGCTTTGTCTTTAGGTGTCGGATCTGCATGTGTTTCCTTCTAAGTCTGTCCCCTCATTCTCCAAAGCAGACATGAACTCGGGTGATGAGTCAGGCTGCAGGAGCAGTGGAGGGTCACAGGAAGCCCCCCCGACCCCGGTCCCCGATGTGGGCTCCTTGCTGGTGACTTCCCCCTCCCTGGGGTCTGACCTTGTCCCCATGTCGGGGTCCTAGCACCCCCGCACCCACTCCACGCTCCAGTCTCATCTGAGGAGAGAGAGGAACTGATCACGTGAGATGGTCCCATGGCCACGGGATGACAGTACCTGGCAGCCAGTGGCTTTGAAACTGTCTCAGCTCCAGGAGGACCGGGCTGAGGCCAGCAGCTCCCACGGTCCTTGGATTGTCTCTGGGGATTGTGAAGCCCCCTTTCCCTCACGTCCCTCTGCAAGTGATGAGATGGGAGGGGAAGCTTAGTGAGGCTCCTTGTCCCAGCCTCCTTCCCAGCAGCGCTGCTGGCTGGAAAAGGCTGTTGCCACGGGGCCACCCCAGTATTCTTTCTTTCTTGGCATGTCTTTGGTCTGAACCAACAATCCATTACTATCAACCAAGACACCCCAAAACCTGGTGCTTGGTTCACCTCTCAAATATACTCACTGAACCCTCCTCTGGCCACACGATGCCGTCGTCTCCAGCTCAGCTCCTGGCCCTGCCACACTGTGACCCCGAAATGCAAATGGGCAGCCACAGCTCCGTTTCCAGCCGCGCTGGAGGTTTTGCTGTTTGGAGGCTGGAGGACTTGTCCTTCAGATAAGCCTGACAGCTAAGCAGGTGCGCAACCGGTCTGCCAATCGCTGGTGGTGCCAAACATCCCTTTCCCGGGGCATGAAGCCAGCCCAGCTGCCACTCCTTGGGCACAGGTGTGCGCGGAGGCGGCTGTGACAGCTCCTTCCACCGAGGGAGGGAGCGGGAGCCCAGCCGAGCCTCTGTGCGGACAGCAGGGACGGCACTCGGTGCGCGGCGCCCTGGATGAAGGAACGAGTCCGGAGCAAGAGCTCGGAGAGGCGCTCGGCGTGGGCGGGACCCGCAGCCGCTGCCTCCCCAGGCTGCCCCCTCCCGGGCGCGCGCGGCGCCGGCGGGGCCATTTGCGCAGCCGCACACACGTCCCGCCGGGCGGGCCCGCGCTCCATCCGGACAAAGCGCCCGGGGCCCCCCGAGTCCCTGCAGGGTCAGGGCCTGCGGAACCGCGCGGCCTCTGCCCCACAAAACCACGGCGCGGCGGCAGAGCTCTTCTGCCCGCATCGCAAGGAAACGAGCCGCACGTCCCAGCCTGCGTTTCCGTTTCCCGGAGAGACCCCGGGCTCCCTCCTCCAAGGACAGGAACGCAACGCACTGGCAGAGCTCGCGGATTGGCTGGGGGAGAGAAGTGGGCGGAGTGAGCACTAGGAGATGCTGTCATTGGATAAGAGAAGTGGGCAGGGTGGGCACCGGGTAGAGCCTGCTGGGTGGATAGGAGCGAGAAGCAGGGGGAGCTGGTGCTGAGATCCTGCAATTGGACAGGCATGAAGTAGGTGGGGCGGGCACTGAGGAGACCCTGCCAATTGGACAAGAGAGAGAAGTGGGCGGAGTGAGCATTGGTGGAGCCTGCTGATTGGGCAAGAGACAGGAGTGGTGGGGCAAGGACTGCGAAGAAGGCTGCTATTGGATGTTAGGGAGAAGAGGGCGGAACAAGAAGGTGGAGAACTCTGCCAATTGGACAGGCGAGATAAGTAGGAGGAGCGAGCAATGAATGGAGCCAGCCGTGAAAAAAGCCCTGACAACTGAACAGGGGAGAGCAGTGGAACCAGAATTAGGGTTACGGAAACGGTGACAACCAGAAAGGAAATTACAGCAGCGATGCCCACCGCACCAACCCAAAACTATGACCCGAGTCCTAACCCACCCTAACCCAGCCAAAACCAAACTCCAAACCCTCACTAAATGTGAAACGCTGACCCGGACCCACACCTGGACCTAGTGCGACCCCAAGCCTGAACCCTAACCCCTAACCCCTAATCCTGATCCTACACCCTAACCCTGACCCTGACCCTGAGGGGAGACATAGAGGAAAGAGATTGAGAGGTTTGCACATTCAGTGACATACATTTTCTTCGTTAGTCGATGTTAGAAAGCAAAGGCTTGTATCTCTTAAGAAGTTTCTATCTGACCTAAAGAATGATGTACAATAAACTGTGTTCAACAAACTGTGTTAAGAAGGTTTTTTCCCCCTCAAAACCTACACAATACGTGTCTTAAAGTACCTTCCAACATTTAACTCCCTTGGAGACTCAGACAGGGGCTGGCGTTTGAGTCAATACTCCACAGCTGTTTGGTGGATGAGTGGACAACAGCACGGCCAACAGGTCCTGGTGCAAAAAGTCTTGGGTAGCCTCACTTTGAATCCTGCTTCTGCCATCGACCAGCCGTGTGGTTCTGTACAAGTATTTTAACCTCTCTGGTCCGCAGTTTCCCCATCTGTAACTTGAGGGCCTACCTCAAATGGGTTCCTGGTGAAGAGTAACAAGACTATATCCGGAGTAGGTTTCAATTGCCTTTTCCTCCGTCTTTCTCCCTCCCCTCCAACCCTTACAAATCCTTTTTTTCCTCCCCCCCCCCCACCCACAGGTTCTCCCTCTGTTGCCCAGGCTGGAGTGCAGTGGCATGATCTTGGCTCACTGCAACCCCCACTTCCCAGGCTCAAGCAATCTTCCTCCTCCCACCTCAGCCTCCCGAATAGCTGGAGCTACAGGTGTGTGCCACTACGCCAGGCTAATTGTCATTGTGTGTGTGTGTGTGTGTGTGTGTGTGTGTGTGTGGAGACAGGGTGTCTCCATGTTGACCAGGCTAGTCTCAAACTCCTGGCCTCAAGCAATCCTCCCACCTCGACCTCCAAAAGTGCTAAGACTTACAGGCGTGAGCCACCGCCCCCACCCCCTTCAAATCTATTACAAGGTGAGCGTCTCGCCAAGGCAATGAGATCGCAATATGATGTTTCCATTTACTTTGGATTATACGTCATTATAAATATTAACAAATAAGACTCAAAAAGGACACCTTCGGGTAGGTCAGACCAAAGTACAAAACTTGTGTGTGGGGCTGCAGTTTGAGGGCAGTGTCTGCAGCCGTCACATGGTAGCAAAACGGTGTTAAGCAGCGCACGAGAGCCTGCGTCGACCACAGCCAGAGTCCATGCATCGGGAGGTTCACTCGGTTTGCGAAGAACGGGCAGGGCATGCACGGCCTGGGCTCGGCGGGCGGGCGGGCGGGCCGGGGCGCAGTTCCCCAGGTTCGCCACTAGAGGTCAGGAGGTGACCGCTTCGGGGCTGGAAGACGGGCCCGTCGGGGATTCGCTAGGGCCGGGGGGGGGGGGGGGGGGGGGGGGGGGTGGACGTGGCGCCTGGTTGCTGACATCTGGAATGACTTTTTTTTGGCATCAGATTTCCTGTCTTTGTGGGGCTGATGGACCCGAGCAAAGATGCCCGTTCGGGGTCAAAGGCAGAGCCGCTTCTGCAGCTTCTCAAAGCATTTTTTTTGTGGGGTTTTTTTTTCTCTCAGAGTCTTGCTCTGTCGCCCAGGCTGGTGCAGTGATGTGATCTTGTCTCACTGAAACCTCCACCTCCCAGGTTCAAGCAACTCTCCTGCCTCAGCCTCCCTGAGTAGCTGGGACTACAGGCGTGAGCCACCACACCCGGCTAATTTTTGTATTTTTAGTAGAGACGGGGTTTCGCCATGTTGGCCAGGCAGGTTTCGAACTCCCGACCTCAGGTGATCCTCCCGCCTCGAACTCCCAAAGTGCTGGGATTACAGGCATGAGCCATCCCGCCCGGCCTCAAAGCGCTTTAACAGAAAGACAATCTGCACGGGATCTAGAAAGGTGCTGGGATCCTGGGGAAGGTTGGTTTCCGAATTTCCTGGGGGGTTCCTGCCCGAGTGCCCGTGCTGCCCCCGTGATGGCCAGTGAGCCCGCCTCCCAGCCTGACTGTCCCCATCTTTCAGGCCCAGCCCCATTTGTGCAGCCTGGGCAGTAGAGGGCCCTGGACTTGGGGGCTGGAGTTCTGGGTTCTTGTCCCAGCTGTGCCCCTGCAGGCCCCAAGTTCCCCATGTGCCTATAAGGAAGTCATCTAGGTGGAGGGTGCAGCCTCTTCTAGCTTTGCCATTCACTTCTGTGTCTTCAGAGAGGCGGTCAAGTCTCCGCTCTGAATGAGACCGACACAAAAAGCAACGCTAAGACGATGCCCAGAACTTACATAGACACCAGGCCTTTCAGAAATAGACCACCTCTTACCTTAGACCCCCAGAGGATGCCCATTCTGTGTGGAGAAAAGAGGGGCCTTTGCCTCAGCCCCCAGAGGCTAGGCTGAATTTTGGGGCCGGGTTAGGCACCTCTGGGAAGCCTGAAGTAGCACAGACGGTTTCAAAGCCAGTGGACGAGGAGGCAGGACAGTGGCAAGACCCCAGGTCTCCCTCATGCACCGAGCTTGCTGAGCCTACACCTGGGGTCTCCACTGAGTCTCTGACAGACCAGGAGGGAAGGGACTGGGGGTACCGACCCCCAGAGAGAGAAAGTGGCAGTCATAAGACCTGGCTTTGAGTCCTGGCTCACCCCTTCCTGGCTCTGTGGCCTTGACAAACTACTCGGACTCGGGGAACATGTTTCACCTGCAAGATGGGGATGAGAATCAAACCCACCTCACAGGGCTGTGAAGATGCGTCCAGACAAGTGCATGCAAAAGCCTTCACACACAAAACCCTTCCTAAAGGGGGAGACAAGGCTCCACGAGGTGGCCAGGGACCGTGTGGGGCTGGGGTCCTGTTTTCCCTGCAACCTGGGAAAGGCATGATGGGCACTTGGTGGGATTCAAATCATGACCCTGCACCTCAGGTTGTGGTGTGCTTGGTGTCTGCAGTGGAAGTTCCCACCATCGTGCCTGTCAGTCCCTCTACCGGTGTTGAAGGGGTGGGCAGCAGGCGGGTGAGCCCCAGGCTGGCAGCTAGCAGGACCTCTCTCATGTGAGCTCAGCACAGCAATTCCCCTGAGTGTGGGGTCCAGCACTCCGGGCTGGGGGCTGTGGATCCTGGTTCCAGCTCTGTGGGGGCTGGAAGGCCCTGAGCAGGTCACGTAACCTCTCTGGGCCTCTGTTTCCATCACACACTGATGGGCTGAGCAAAAGGACTCTGGCTGTGCAACGCCTTGGCTCTGCATTTGTTCACCCAGTGTTCCTGGGGGCCCCTTGGTAGGCAGGGAAAGTTTGTGGGCTTCAGGCATGGGCCCCAAGACTCAGATACTCTCAAGCCTCCTGGAGAGCCTAACTCAGGGAAGCAGACAGGCCCACCAGGCAGGGCGGTTCCTGCTCAGCTCCTGGAGGGTGGAGCCAGCCCCACAGGCCTCCCCAGAGACAAGGCCCTGGACTGTCACTGATTAGTCCCAGAAGGGACATCTGTGGTGGTGGTAGGACCAAGACGCCATGAGCAAGCACCTGGAGGCCCCCAGTACTCAGTGTGAGACAGGAAGTGAAGGGGAAGGGAAAGGGCAGAGTGATGACGTATAGGAATGCTCGGCTCGATTTTTCTCCAAGCACAAGGGACCCCTTTCTCCACTGCAGTTGACCTGATGCTTACGCCGGGAAGGAGGAGCGGCGGGCTCCGTCCTCGAGGTCCCTCAGGAGTGGAAAGAGATCAAAGTGGGAGACTTGGGTCTGAGGTCTGAACTTGGCCCCGCACCAGCACCAGTTTCTCCTGGTGCTTCCATCACTTCCCCCACCTCCTGCCTCGAGCCTCACACCTTCCTAACAAACCTGCCTGGGAGAGGAGACCCTGGGTCCACAGTTCCCAGCCCCATTGGCCTTCTCTCTCCTCCAGGCCTTTTTAGACCTAGAACTCCCCACTCACCCTCCAAGGCCTTACAGAAGCACCACTTCCTCCAGGAAGCCTTCCCTGACCTCCCAGCAGTCAGCAGAACCCATGGTATTTGCAGACTGGCCAGGCTGGTCTCGGTATTTCTCGCCCCAGTTGGAGTGGTTTGTTCCCAGCTCCCTGACTAGACGGGAACTCCCTGAGGGCAGGCCCTGTGTCTCACCCACCCGCAGGGCTTGTGGAATCATTGAGTGAAGCCTGTGCCAATTTACCCTCATCAGGAGCCTCCGGGAACTCTGCAGACTTTCGGCCGGCAGGCCCGCTTCTTCCATCGGCCCAGCAGCGATGGAGATGAGGGATGCGGTCAGCCTTTCTTGGGCTGGAGCAGTCGGTCTTCAAGGTCCTGTCCTCCACCTGTCTGTCTGCTCACCACCTCCCTCCTCTGTTTCCACTGTCCCCCAGGGTGCCCCCACACTCCTGTCCTCTCAGCCTGGGCTGGCCTCCAGAAGGTCTTTGCTCCCAGATGGTCCTGTCCCCTTCCCCTGGGCAGGTGCTGAGGTCTCCTTCCACCACCGGCCTCTTGGGCCCCAGACGGCTGAGAGCACCCCCAGCTCCCTGCCCTTCCCGTCCCAGAGTGGCTGAGCCCTCCACGTCCTCCGAGCAGGGACTGCAGTGGCTCTGGGTCCAAGCAGGGGTTCTGGATCTCCCCCAATGTGGGGGCCACAGGCCTTGGTGGCTGCTGGGGAAGCCTGGGCCGGCCGTGCTGGGCGCAGGTGGTGGTGGGGGTGGCAGTGGCAGGCGGGCGTCAGTCGCTGAGCACGGCCCCCGGGAGCTCGCTGGTGAGTGTGTGCCAGCGCTCGATGCGCTTGTCCTTGTTCTTCAGGCAGTCAAACCAGTGCTTCAGGCGCTCCCCCTTGGCGTTGATGCCCAGAACCACGCCACCTGCGGGAGGACAGGAGGGGCAGCCGGGGCCCAGGGACCCCCGACTCCCAGGTTCTGTGCTCAAAGGCCAGCCTCTCCCACTGCCCGCTGGGTTCCGAGCACGAACAGGACCTGCCCTCCATGCCACACTCCAGCCCCGTCAGGGCCCAGCCATCCTGTCCCTCTTCCACCAGGGCAGGGATAGGGGCAGGGTGCAGAGGCAGTGTCAGGGGTCAAGGAATTGGGCCCAAAGCGGGGAGAAGGGGCCGGGCAGCCCCACTGTGCGCAGCCACCAGGCCCGCCGGGAATCTGGGGCCTCTAGGGTTCAGAGTCCAGCCCGAGGCCCTGCCCATCATCGTCTCTTGTCTGTGCTCCGCCACACAGTGCTGTGTGACCCTCCCAGAACTCCTTCCCTCTCTGGGCCTGTCTCTTCCTGGGGCACAGCGCTCAGGCTGGAGAAGGTCTGAGGCCCCTCAGGTCTGGGGGCAGGTGGTCCGTGGCTCCAGCTTCCCCCAGGGACCAGGAAGGAGGGGCTGTGGCCGGATCCAGGACAGGCACACAGCGACACGGTGCTCCCACTCTGCCCCCTTACCAATAAAATCGTTGGATTTTCCAATGTCGTAATCCCAAACGGTGACCTCCAGGGACTTCTTGGCCAGGTCCCCATGCTTAATCTCATAACAGAACTCCTGCTGGTCAGAAGGGAGTGTTCGGGCTGATGCCACGAGGCCTGGGCCTCGGCCGGTGGCCAGGAGGGGTATGAGGTGTAGGGAGAGAGGGGGGACGGGGTGATCAGTGCTCAGGGTGGACGACGGGTGGACGCTCACATGTCTCATGCACTTCCCCCTGAGCTCAGCTGGGGTTTTCAGGGTCCCCATCCCCTCGCCCACTTGTTCCTTGTCCCTGAGCCTCCTGACTGCAGAGGCACTGCCCGCCCCACAGTCCCTGTCGTCCTGGGCCTCTCTGGGGCCTGGCTTTGCTGACCCCTCCCTTCTGTGGGACCCTCCCTTCCATCCGGGGTTCCCTTCACTCCCTGGAAGCATCTTCTCAACCTCCCCTGCCTGCCTCTGGATCACTGGTGTGGCGTGTGCTCTACCCAAGGCCCCTCCGCTCTTCTTTCCTTCTTGTTCCTTGGGGGGAATCGTGTTTCCAGCTGTACTCGCTACTTTGGGCTGAAGACCTTCCTGGGGCCCCAGGGTGTCTCGAGTCCCCTTGTCCCACACAGAGCTTCTTCCCATCTTCCTCACCCCCTCTTTGCCCCGTGGCCTCCATGAGGAACCCAGGACATCCCTCAACACTTCCCTCTCCCCAGCCCTACATCCGGCATTCTTGCCAAGAACTTTCCAGGGGTCCCCCAGCTCCCCTGTGTCTGTGGCTTGGTGCGGCCCCTCCCCACCATCTCTGACCACCCTCCCCATCCCACCATGACCTTTTGACAACCCAGCCACACCCCCACCGCCCTGGGGCAGAGGAGTGGCCTTCATGAAGCTTCACCAGCCCCTCATACCTCGTTAAACTCCGGGTTCAGGGTTTTTTTCTTCACCGCTGTCTTATGTTTGGATTTCTTGTCCACATCTGGCCTCAGGTATCTGGAATTACATCCAAGGGACAGGCAGAGGATGGCGACATGCTATGGGGTATAGATCAAGCCAGCAGGGATTCAAAGAGCTTTCTGTCCCTGGAGAGATTCCTGGACCCTTCTTTTGTCCTCATCATTGCATTTTCCCAACTCTATTTTGTGGCAAAGGCGAGACATTGTTTTCGAGAAGCAAGTGGTCCCTTTCTCCACCGCACTTCTGTTCACACACACCTTCCTGAAGTGAACCATGGTGGGGGGGGGGTCCCTTTCTCCACCGCACTTCTGTTCACACACACCTTCCTGAAGTGAACCATGGTGGGGGGGGTCCCTTTCTCCACCGCACTTCTGTTCACACGCACGTTCCTGAAGTGAACCATGGTGGGGGGCCCTCCATCCCCCTAGGGAAGGGATTTTTCCTCGTTTCTGGAAGCCTAATTTTCATCAGGCTCACATTTCCCACCAGAACAGAGCTTTTAGCAGAGTTGGTCTCTTGTTCAAACTTTCTTTTTTTGAGACGGCTCACTGCAACCTCCACCTCCCGGATTCAAGCAATTCTCCTGCTTGAATCCAGAGGCTACTCCCAGCCTCTGGAGTAGCTGGGATTTCAGGCACCCGCCACCATGCGCAGCTAATTTTTGTATTTTTAGTAGAGACGGGGTTTCACCATGTTGGCCAGGCTGGTCTTGATCTCTTGACCTTATGATCCACCCACCTCAGCCTCCCAAAGTGCTGAGATTAGAGGCGTGAACCACCGTGCCCAGACTTTTTTTTTTTTTTTGAGACGAAGTTTCGTTCTTGTCACCCAGGCTGGAGTGCAGTGGCGCGATCTCAGCTCACTGCAACCTCCACCTCCTGGGTTCAAGCAATTCTTCTGCCTCAGCCTCCCAAGTAGCTGGCATTACAAGCACCTGCCACCACGCCCGGCTAATTTTTTTATTTTTAGTAGAGACGGGTTTCACCATGTTGGCCAGGCTGGTCTCAAGCTCCTGACCTCAGGTGATCCGCCCGCCTCAGCCTCCCAAAGCGCTGGGATTACAGGCACGAGCCACCACGCCCAGCCTCAAGCTTCTTTTATAAAATAGCAGATTTGTTGTGATATAATTCACATACCATAAAATCAATCTTTCTGAAGTATAAAACATGGTAGCCTTTAGTAGACTTGCAGAGTTGTACAACCGTCACCACTACCTTGTTGGAGCTCTGAGGAAGGACAAGACCTTTTGTGCAGTAACAGGAGGCCACACAGATGTTCTTCCCTCCACAGCCATTCAGGGGTTAGACCTTGATGCAGAACAGCTGTCTCCCTCTGAGGCCCAGAGAGGTGGAGCGACTTGCCCAAGGTCACACAGCCGGCAAGCACAAGCGTGGTGCTTGGAAGCCAGGCTCAGGCTTCTTTCTGTATGACAGGGAGGTCATGTGCAGGCTGGAGAAGGGGACAAGAGGTCCTCAACTTCTTTGCAAAACTCCCCCTCTTCCCGCACGGATAATCGCATGACAACTGTCTTGTCCCTGCTGAGCGTGCCTTGTGGTCTCGCCCACTACCAACTCCTTGCGCCTGGCACTGGGGGGCTGAACAAACATCTGTCCAATGAATACCTGAATCCCTAGAAGTGAAGGCACCACCCAAAGAAACGCCCATGTCTGGCTTATTTTGCCAGTTCCTCTCCAGGAAGGCTGCACGGTTGACCCACAGTGCCTGTGACAAAGCTGAATGCTATCACTTAAAAAATCCTTGCCGGTTTGAGAGGCAGAAAAGGATATCTCATAGTTGCTTTACTGTGCATATTTTAAAATTGTGACTTTCATGGCATAAATAATACTGGTTTATTATAGAAGCACTAGAAAATGCATATGGACAAAAGTTGGGATTAGGAGAAAGAAATGAAGACGTATGTCCACACAAAAACCTGTTCATTGCAGCTCTCTACCACCACGAAAAACTGCAAACAACCACACACCCTGCAACCGGGGAACTAACCAACAACGGAAGACCACTCAGCAATAGAAAGAACCAAACTCCTGGTACATGCAACTGACAGATGAATCTAATGCATTTCTCTGTGTCAAAGCAGCCAGATTCACAGGCTTCACAGACACACTATCTGACTGCTTCGTGGGAAAACCTGGAAAAGGCAACACTACTGAGACAGAAAACAGGTCAGTGGTTGCCTGGGGCTGGGGAACTTTCTGGGGTCATATTCTGTATGTTGACTGTGGTGGTGGAAACAAGACTGCACCAGCCTGGACGATACAGCGAGACCCCATCTCTATCCAAAAATTAAAAATTAGCTGGGCATGGTGGTGCATGCCTGTAGTCCCAGGTATTCACAATGCTGAGCTGGGAAGATCGCTTGAGCCCAGGAGTTCAAGGCTGCAATGAGCTATAATTGCACCACTGCACTTCCGCCTGGACGACAGGGCAAGACCCTGTCTCTAAAAAAGAAAAGAAAACAAAAGAAAAACTCACTGGATATGAATGATACAGGTTGAGGATCCATTATCCGAAATGCTTGGACCAGATGTTTTGAATTTTGATTTTTTTCATGTTTTGTAATATTTGCAGTATATTTACCAGTTCAGCATCCCTAATTCAAAATTTCAAAAATTCAAAAATCTGAAATCCCAAACGCTCCAATGGGCATTTCCTTTGAGCGTCATGTCGCTGCTTGAAATGTTTGGGGTTTTGGATTTACGGATTTGGGACACTCAACCTGTACCTCAATAAACGTGATTTAAAAAAGAAGGTTGGGGAGATTCCCCGAAGCCCACCATCGGAGACAGCGGATTTCCTTAGTTACTTACTAGGCTCCTTGGCCATTTCGCTACGTATTGGTTTTGTGTCTGCTGTGAACTGTCCTTGGCCTGTTTGGTAACGGGTGAGGAGCAAGGACAGAAGGGTCCTGCATGCCCGGCCTTCACAGGCCCTTGGAAGAAAGTGGTTTTGGGATCTCTGCGCCCTCAGCCTGGACATTGTGCCCATCTGCTGACCCCTCACTCAGCCACCAGACTTCCACAACAGGCACCAGCCTCAGCACGTTCAGCTATGCACAGTTCCACCAGTGTTGCCCTCTGTTCTGTTTTCCCTGCCAGGAGCGTCCTTCCCTCCTCACCTGACCACTCTGCGGAGATCCCTCAGCACCCTCCCTGAGCACACCCTGCTCTGGCACCAGTCCACCCTGCAAAGCCCCGGAGGCCTGCCCTGTGGCGTCTCTCCCTCCCTTGCTGTTAGGACAGTGGCCCTGGCCACTGAGGCTCATGGAGCCACCCTGTACCATGTACCTCTGGCCCTTCTGCACAGCACCTTCCGCTGGCCTGTGGCTTCGAGAAGAAACCCCTTCTGGTTATACATAAGAGAGCCAGAGATGGGACTTGCCCAGGGTGGCACAGCAAGTTACTGCCAGTTACCACCATTTTCACTGGCATGAAATGGAGATAATAACAGGGCGACTGCACAGGCTGCTGGGAGGGTCATACTCAGTCATCGCATCGCCCAGGGATATTACGTGTAACTCGACATGTCAGCGATTGTCACAGGCACTGTTACTCCTGGGGTTTTCCCACAAACCCTCAAGAACTGGGCCTGGGGTCAACTTCCAGGGAAACTGGGGTAAGTGTCACCAGAGATGAGGTTTATAAAAATAACGGTGCATAGCTGGGCATGGTGGCTTGCACCTGTAATCACAGCACTTTGGGAGGCCGAGCTAGGAGGATCGTTTGACTCCAAGAGTTTGAGACCAGCCTGGACAATATGGCAAAACCCAGTCTCTACAAAAAATACAAAAACCAACTAGCCAGGCATGGCGGCACACACCTGTAGTCCCAGCTACTCGGGAGGCTGAGGTAGAAGAACTGCTTGAGCCCAGGAGTTTGAGGCTGTTGTAAGCTATGATCGCATCACTGCACTCCAGCCCGGTGACAGAGTGAGTCACTGTCTCAAAAAAGGTAGGAAGAAATAAAGAAAATAAATAAAAATAATGGTGCAGACAGAAGGCCTTGACCCATCTAGCTTTGGCCCTCAGCATCAACCGCTGGATACGTCCCTCCCTCTCTTCCAGGTCTAGGATGCAGCTGAGGGGTGCCCCTTTTACCATCTAACCTGTGCCCTCATTTCCCCTGCTTTTAGTGAGGAAAAGGCCCTTGGTCCATGAAGGGGCCTTTCAGAGATGGGGACCCCTGAGGAGACCCGAGCAGCAGCCCTCGTGTCTCACCCAGGGAGTCCGAAACAGACGTGGAGGTCTCAGGCGAGGTGTGGCTCAGATATAGGGAGTGGCCCACAGCTTGGCGTGACTTTGAAAGGCCACGTGACCTGACCCGTGGCTGGCAGGTGGGACCCAGCTGCAGGAGTCCAGCAGCACCCACAACAGCTGCCTGTGACAGGGAGGAGCCTGTGGTACAGCAGACAGGCCCTGCCCAGGCGGCCCCCTGCTTGCCTGTGGAAGTTGACCAGACTGTCTGTCACAGCAGGTAAGACTCTGCTTTCTGGCAACCCAGCGGGTGACCCTGGAATTCCTGTCCATCTGGCAGGTGAGCATTGAAACTGGTTTAAAAGTTTCACACCATAGACTGGGCACAGTGGCTCACACATGTAATCCCAGCACTTTGGGAAGCCAGGGCGGGCGGATCACTTGAAGTCAGGAGTTCAAGACCAGCCTGGCCAACCTGGTGAAACCCCGTCTACTAAAAATACAAAAATTAGCCGAGCGTGGTGATGCACGCCTGTCATCCCAGCTACTTGGGAAGCTGAGGGACGAGAACTACGTGAACCTGGGAGGCAGAGGGGTTGTAGTGAGCTGAGATCGCGCCACTGCACTCCAGCCTGGGCAACAGAGTAAGACTCTGTCTCAAAAACAAACAAACAAACAAACAAAAAAACACACAAAACCACACCATTTGGGCTTCAGATTGCACATCCTCCTGCAAGGATATATACGAATGAGATTCAAGTCAATGACAAGTCAGAAGAAAAAATATATAGACACAAACCAGTATCCTACTGTGTGTCATTTGGTGTGTCTTCAACAGCTGTCCATGTTATAATAGTCATCTAGTTCTAATTTATTCATTTTTAACTGCATAGTACTACATTCTACACATATGCCACATTTTATTAATCTATTCCTCTGAGGATGAATGTTTGGCTATTTCCAGTTTATAGCTATTACAAGCAATGCTGTGATAAATAGCTACCCACCCATGCCCAGGTTTCTAGGAAATAAACTTGGAAGGAAAATAATGTGGCCACAGGGCACACGCATTTCCCACGTCGACTGGATATTGCCAACTTTCTCTCCAATGGTTATTATGGGAGTCTCCTGAGTGTCTTCTCAGCATTCACAGAGCTTCCCCCAACACTCGGGTCTCTAGTGCACTGGATACTTTGTTTTGCTAAGTTGTTGAGGCTGGAGCCCACTTCAGTGTTTTCCACATAGAAAACCAGTAGCCCTGCCCTCTTTCCGGAAGCCTAACTTCCCCCAAAGATGCAGCTTCCTCCGGCTCCTGAAACCACAAATCTACTCTCTGCCTCTGTGGGTCGACCTATTCTGGACACTTCATAGAAATAAAGTCCTGCAATACGTGGCCTTCTGTATCTGGCTTCTCTCACTTAGCATCTTCATTTCAAGGTCCACCCACGGTGTAGCACGTACCTGCTCCACTCCTTCTTAGGGCTGATATTCCACTGCAGGGACGGACCTCATTTGTGTATCCATTTATCAGTGGATGGACGTTTGGGCTGTTTCCACTCTTGGTTGTTGTGAATAGTGCTGCTATGAACATTGCTGCACAAGTTTTAGGATGGACGTGTTTTTCTTATCTCTCGGGTATACAACTAGGAGTGGAATCGCCAGATCAAATGGTGACTCTGTGTTTAACTTTCTGAGGAACTATCGGCTGCTTCCCAAAGTAGCCATCCCATTACTGTCATGTTATTTTTATTTATTTATTATTATTTTGAGACAGTGTCTTGCTCTGTCACCCTGGCTGGAGGGCAGTGGTGCGATCTCAGCTCACTGCAAGCTCCGCCTCCCAGGTTGAGGTGATTTTCCTGCCTCATTCTCCCAAGTAGCTGGGATTACAGGCTCCCACCACCATGCCCAGCTAATTTTTTTTTTTTTTTTTTTTTTTGAGACAGAGTTTCACTGTTGTTGCCCAGGCTGGAGTGCAGTGGCACAATCTCTGCTCACCGCAATCTCCGCCTTGTGGGTTTAAGCGATTCTGCTGCCTCAGCCTCTCAAGTAGCTGAGATTACAGGGATGCACCACCACGCCCGGCTAATTTTGTATTTTTAGTAGAGACGGGATTTCTCCATGTTGGTCAGGCTGGTCTCGAACTCCCAACCTCAGGTGACCCGCCCACTTCAGCCTCCCAAAGTGCTAGGACTACAGGCATGAGCCACCGTGCCCGGCTAATTTTTTTTATTTTTAGTAGAGACAGAGTTTCCCCATATTGGCAGGTTGAGTGATCCATATGCCTCGGCCTCCCAAAGTACTGGGATTATAGGCATGAGCCACTGCACCCGGCCTAATTTATTATTATTTTTAACTGTAGAGACAAGGTCTCAGGATGTTGCCAAGGCTGGTCTCAAATTCCTGGGCTCAAGCAATCCTCTGAAGTAGCTAGGACCACAGGCACATGCCACTATGCCCAGCTAATTTTTACTTTTTTTTTTGTAGAGATGGGGGTCTCACTATGTTGCCCAGGATGTTCTCAAACTCCTAGCCTCAAGCGATCCTCCTGCCTTGGCCTCCCAAAGTGTTGGGAATGTAAGTGGAAGTCACTGTACCTGCCACATACAATTTTTAAAGTGACAGAAATATGATCACGGCCATGGGAGTGGTGCCCCCAGAGCTGTGCCATGAGGAGTACTGGCCTCTTCATGGTGCCAGGATGTCCCTGAGGCCTTAGTCCCCTGGGTCCTTGGTGTCCCCTGGGTCAGGGCCATTCCTCTGTCATCCCCTCCCTGAAGCACCTGCCTCTCCTTTCTGCGAACTGAATCCCTCTCCAAGTCTCACTTTTCCAGCATCTCCCTGTGAGCTCACACTCATACCTACCTAGTTTCTGGAGCGCCCCAGGCACTGACGGTAGTCACTGTGGCACCTGCGGCACCCCTCTCCAAAGGGTCGCCGGCTCCTGCCTGGCTCTCAGAGCTACACAGCCTCTCCTGACCAGGCTCACAGGTCCACAGCTCTGGGGCCCAGGTCACCTGGCATGGACCCTGAGTTAGTGTCTCTTCCCAGGACCACCATCAGCCCCTGTTGGTAGAGCTGAGTGGACTCTTATCTGCATCTGTGGCCCCAGTATAGGGCTGGGCACATGTGGGCATTTGCCAAGGCCTGGCAGAGTTCCTCTGCCACCTCCCCCAGCCTCCTGGCTACCCCTGGCACTGGCCCTGCCTTCTGTCCCCTCCTCCGACCTCCTCATGGCCCCTCCTGGGCCCCTCAGTCACAGAGAGGCCTGGACATAGCATCAGGTGATAACTAATATCTGCATGACTCTGGGAAGCCACTCAGCTTCTCTGGGCCTCAGTTTCCCCATCTCTGAAGTGGGCTGGCCATGTTTAACCCCTGGAGTTGCCAAGGGAACCCATCAGGGAACACGGCGTCCCTGTACCTCAAGTACTCCCTGGGTGCCTGCCACCTGAGACCACGGAGCCGGCACACGGACCTCTGTCCTTAGAGGTGAAGAGGTGGCAGGTGGTCACGCGCACAGCACACTCACGTTTTCACGTAAGGGTCCGAGTAGCCGTTGGCATCCATGGCGGCCAGGTGTGCGCACCGCACGATGCCCACCAGCAGGCCCTGCTTCTGCGAGCTGTACTTGAGGGAGATGAGGATGCGGCCCCGCTCCTCCAGGGACTTGTCTTCGGTCTTGTCCACCTGTTGGACGGGACGGTCACTCAGTCCTCACCTGCTCCCACCCCTCTCTTGGCCATACTTGGCCTCTTCTTCCTGAGCCCACCCACTCTCGCTGCTGCAGCCAGGCCCGGTCAGGGTCCCTGGTGAGTGGCCACACTGTGAACTCACAGGCCTTCTATCATCGCTTCCCTCCCAAGGGTTCTGCTGGGGGTGGATCTGACCCTCGCCCTCCCTGTTCTTGGCTGCATGGCCTGGGGTGCCCTTCACAGCCCTGCAAGGGCCAGCCCAGGGATCGGCAACTGCGGCGCTGGTGCCAGATCAGGCCCGACGCCTGGCTCTGTGTGGGATGTGAGCTAAGAGTGGCTATTACCCTTTTTAAAAAAAATTATTTTCAAAAAAAGAGAGACGGGGTCTCACTATGTTGCCCAGGCTGATCTCAAACTCCTGGGCTCAAGGGATCCTCCCACCTTGGTCTCCCAAAGTGCTGGGGTTACAGGCGTGAGCCACCGTGCCCAGCTGGTGCTTACTTTTCAGAATAGCAGAAAGAAAAATGAAATGAAAAATATTTTGTGACACATGAAAATGATATGAAATTCACACTTCGGCTTCCATTAATAACATGTTATTGGAACACAGCCTTGCCGGCTCCTTGAGGCCTACTCTATGGCTGCTTTTGCTCTAAGGACAGAGCGGCGCGGCGGCCACAGACAGCACGGTGCACAGACCCTGACATGCGCTAACGGGCCCTTCACAGCTCTGCAGTCCCCGGCCTGGTGTGCTCGGCCTCCGCAGATGGTCTTCCGCCAGGTCCTCCTCACGGCCCGCCCTGACTTTCTCTGCAGTCCCTCGGCTTTGAAGCCGGGTCCCACCTCCGTACCTCTGTGCACGCTTAATCCACAGCTCCAGCACCCTCCTCTGTGTTCACCGTTGATAAATTCCTGGTCCTTCTGGGCCTGGGGGGCTTTTCTGACCCTCGGGGTGGGTTGGCCGTCCCCTCTGTGTGTCCACTGCCTCGGGTTTATCCTGCCATGGCCTGCGTGACCCCCTGCTTCCTCATGGGTCTGCCCCAACCTCTAAGTTCCTTAAGTTTGAACTCTTGTCACCCAGACTGGAGTGCAGTGGCACTTTCTTGGCTCACTACAACCTCCGCCTCCCGGGTTTAAGCGATTCTCCTGCCTCAACCTCCTGAGTAGCTGGAACTACAGTCTAATTTTTGTTTTTTGGTAGAGTCAGGATTTTGCCATGTTTGCCAGACTGGTCTCGAACTCCCGACCTCAAGTGATCCACCTGTCTCAGCCTCCTAAAGTGCTGGGATGATGGGTATGAGCCACTGCATCTGGCTAATACCTGCATCATCTTTAATACCTCAGGGCTGGGCAAGGGCCTGGCACTAAAGGCCCACTGGAGGCTTATACTAGTGAAGGCAAGAATGGAGGGACTGGAGGCTTATACTAGTGAAGGCAGGAGTGGAGGGACCCCTGTGTGTTCAACCTCACACAAGCAACTCCAGCCTGGAGGGTTCGAACAAAGGCAGAAACGTCTGCCCATGGCCAACAGAGCCAGGTGGATGGAAAAGGGTAACCCTGGCCCCGGTCCCCTGAAGGTGCTTCCTGGAGCCTCTCAGGGTGCTGGAGGCGGCTCCCTCAGGAGAGCCCAGGAGACAGAGCTCTGGTACTTTCCTCACCCTGGGGAAGCTGGGAGCCCGATGGGGAGGCCACTCAGTCCCCTCCCCTGCCTCAGCAGCTGCCCGGTGCCTGCCTCTCAGGGCAGATCTCAGTTCCAGGCCTCCCCATCCCCAGCCAGACTGAGGCTTCTCCATTCCTTGACCTCCCGAGACCACCTGGCCTCTTCCTTCCGGCTGCTGTGCACCCGAACCCTCTCTCCTGGGCCTCAGCCCAGCCGCACATGCCCAGCTTGGGCCCTGTGTCCCCCTGGGTCCCCTTAGGACTCTGCCGGGCTCCTCTCCTAAGCAGGCCCAGCCACACCCTTTTACTCACAGTGGTGCCCTGCCTAGCACCAAGTGAGTCCCTCTGGCTACATCCAGCCCTTTCTGGAGATGAGAGTCCTGTGAGGTGAGCAGGGATGTCGAGCAGGGAGGACACACACGCCCCACCGGCCACCTTCACCACCTCCCACGCCCAGAGCAGGCATGGCTAATCGATCTCAGCATTTGCCCTGAGCTCCAATGCCCCCTCAGAGTCCTTTTCAACAGCGCCCAGGCAGCCGTTCCCAGTGGATCAGGCCAGGCCTGCGAGATCTCGCCATCTGCCCCTCAGGCAGAGCTTTGTGTGTGAGGCCTCGAGGCACTGTGCTGCCTGTGTCAGTGTGTGTGGTGTGAAAATTAGACAATATAAACCAGCAGGCGCCAGGCACAGCGGCTCACGCCTGTAACCCCAGCACTTTGGGAGGCCGAGGCGGGCAGATCACCTGAGGTCGGGAGTTCAGGACCAGCCTGGCCAACATAGTGAAACTTCGTCTCTACTAAAAACACAAAAATCAGCCGGGCGTGGTGGCAGGCGCCTGTAGTCCCAGCTATTGGGAGGCTGAGGCAGGAGAATCACTTGAACCCAGGAGGCGGAGGTTGAAGGGAGCCGAGATCGCGCTACTGCACTCCAGCCTGGGCAACAGAGCGAGACCCCATCTCAAAACCACGACCGCTGCCGCCGCCACTGCCACCGCCACCGCCACCGCCACCACCACCACCACCACCACCACCACCACCACCACCACCAGGGATATCTTTCGCTGTTTTTTCAGATATTTTTCGCTGTTTTTTCAGGGCTAGGATATTGTGCTTTGGGTTGTTTCATATGAAGACCATTGTGTATTACTCAGTATTGACTTAAAACAATGTTCGCAGACTGTAAATTCTAAATGTACCACCAGAGGCCTGGCACAGGGGTTCACGCCTGTAATCCCGGCACTTTGGGAGGCTGAGGCAGGAGGAACACCAGAGGTCAAGAGTTCGAGACTTGCCTGGCCAGCCTGGCAAACCCCTGTCTCTACTAAAAATACAAAAATTAACCAGGCACGATGGTGCACACCTGTAATCCCAGCACTTTGGGAGACTGAGGCAGGTGGATCATTTGAGGTCAGGAGTTTGAGACACCTGGCCAATATGGTGAAACCCCGTCTCTACCAAAAATACAAAAATTAGCCGGGCGAGGTGGCACAGGCCTGTAGTCCCAGCTACTCGGGAGGCTGAGGCACGAGAAGTGCTTGAACCCGGGAGGTAGAGGTTGCAGTGAGTCAAGATTGTGTCACTGAACTCCAGCCTGGGTGACAGAGCAAGACTTGGTCTCAAAAAAAATAATAAAAATAAAATAAAAGTATCACCAGAATGTGGCTTTACTGCCAGGGTGTATCCCAAACTGTGCTCCTGGGGTCACTGTGAGTCCCTGAACGGCACCAATGAGTGGGTAGCGCACCCAGTAATGCCGTGATCACGGCCATGCACAGGGGTGCACATGCTTTCACGAACACACACCACACACACGCAGACACACAGTCACACACAGATATGTACTGATATGTACATGCTCTTACGCACAAGTCACACACAAGCACACCCCCACACGGTTGCTTCCAGTGATCAAAACTCAGGAACACTACAGTACAGCTGGTGTTGCCTTTTCTTTCTTTCTTTTTTTTTTTTTTTTTTTTTGAGACAGAGTCTTCCTCTTGTCACCCAGGCTGGAGTACAATAGCGTGATCTTGTCTCACTGCAACCTCCGCCTCCCAGGTTCAAGCAATTCTCCTGCCTCAGCCTCCTGAGTAGCTGGGATTACAGGCGCCCGTCACCACCCCTGGCTAATTTTTGTATTTTCAGTAGAGATGGAGTTTCGCCATGTTGGCCAGGCTGGTCTCGAACCCTTGACCTCGTGATCCACCTCCCTCGGCCTCCCAAGATGTTGCCTTTCTTAAGTGACATAGATCATATGGAAAAACTGGGTTACCGGTGGTGAGTGACTAATAATAAACCAGAAAAGGTTATACCCATCACACAAATGTCTGAGTGGGAGAGAATGTGACAAGGGAATAAAATTGGATCAAATTATGAAAAAACAACTGGGATTCTGGGAAGAAGCCCTGGCCACAGGCTGACTCACCCCCCAGGGCTTGACTTGAGTCCACATCCCCGGGCCCACTGGGGCTGGGTACACTGGGGACAACCGCTGGGCTTTGTCCTTCTGAACTTGCCCCTTGCCCAGCCTCTGCCCGTGTCCTGAACACTGGGAGGCTGAGGCCCCAGCATTTCTCTTGACCCTGGTGGCACTAGGGACTCCTGGCTTCATCAGCCCTATGAACCAGGTGAAGGCCAGGCCAGAGACAAGGGAGGGCGGGGGAGGGAAGAGGGACATAGAGACCAAGACGCGGGAGGGCGTAGCTGCTGGAGCAGGCCAGGGGGCACAATCTGTTCTGACACAACGTTCAGACAAAGGCCATTCTGTCTCCTCTGAGTATCTCATGGGCACTCAAGTCTGACACGTTCCAAGCACGCTCCCTGAGAGTCCCGTCCACCCGTAGCCCCTGCTACAGTCCTCTGAGTGCCGTGAACAGCCCCTCAGGCTCCAGTGGCTCCGGCCCCAAACCTCGGACCTGCCCTTCCCTCACCCAAGATGTCCCATCTGCTGCCTGGACACCCGGCTCAGAGTCAAGCTCTCCTACCGCCGCCAAGGTCAGGCCAGGGCTGCGCCCATCTCTCCCCATCTCCCCGGGCCTCCTGCCCTCTCCTCCCTCTTCTTTAAGCCATCCTGAGCCCAGGCCAGTGAGGCTGGTAAACTGTCATCCCCCGCAGTCCCTCAGCTTAGCACCCTCCCGTGGCCACTCAGAGTGAAAGCCAGGGTCCTCCCTCACCTCCACCCCCCTGCCTCTCCACGCTCACCTCCTCATCTCCCCTGCCCTCTCACTCTGCCCCTCAGTAGCCCCACCACGGGCAGGAAGTTCTGCCTTCCCAGCACCTGCCACCCAGCCAGGCACACAGCAGGCGCTCAATGACTCCTCTCACCGGCAGCTGCTTCTCCAGGCAGATACTGAAGGTCTTGGTGTGGTTGGCTTTCAGCTTCTTCAGGGGCACGCGTGTCTCCCCGATGAACTCATTGTGCCGGAATTTGTCCTCGTCGCACACAGAGATGCTGGGTTGGGGGTGAGAGGCACAGCCAGCAGCTCAGACGCACGGGGCGTAGGGGGAGTGTGCGCGGGTAGGGTCAGCCCTGGCTTGTCCTGCCCCAGGCCCTGCCCTGGTCTGGGGTGGGAGACGCACGAGATGCCTGGGCCCTGACAGGGCCAGAGTGTGGCATGATGTCAGGTACTGTCCTCCCGGACAAGTGTCCTCAGGTTGGAAGAGGGGACGGGAGAAGGTAGGGCCAGTGCCGGGAGGTGGGGAGAGCCGGTTCTCTGAAGGGAACCACCGCCAGCACCTGGAGAGGCCCCAGGAAGCACCTTCAGGGCACTGGGGCCAGAGTGACCCTTTCCATCCACCAGGCTCCGCCGGTGTGGGCAGACCTTTCTGCCTTTCTTCAGACCCCCAGGCTGGAGTTGCCTGCATGAGGCTGAACCCACAGGAGGCCATCTGACCCTCCGGTCCTGCCTCCGTGAGGACAAGCGGGCGGGGTGGGGGAGGGGCCGGCGGCCGGGGCCTCGCCTACCGCAGCGTTTTGCGGATCATGTCTTCGTCTGTGATCCCGTAGTAAGTGAGGGTCTCGTTCCACGTGGGGTTCAGAGTGTTGCGGAGAGTTTTTGTTCTGAGCTTATTTGCCTGGAGAAGAGAGAGATGATCGTATTAGCATCGAAGGGTGTGTCAGACAGAACAACGGCCCCCAGAGGCGGCCACATGCTCATCTTGGAGCCTGGGAATGTGTCATCAACATGGCCAAGCGGAACTGAGGCTGCAGGTGGAGTTAGGGTTCGTAACAAGCTGACGTTAGAACAGGGAGATTATCCTAGATTGTCGGGTGGCCCAATGTGGTCACGGGTTCTTCACAGCAGAAAGGGCAGAGAAGAGTCAGAGTGAGACATCACCAAGGCGGGGGCCAGAGAGATGCAACGGGGCCGCTGTGAGGGTGGAGGAAGGGGCCAGGGGCCCAGGAGGGTGGACGGCCTCCAGAAGCTGGAAAGAGCTAGGACATGGCTGGGCTCCCCAGGTTCCAGAAGGAACGCAGCCCAGGGAGACCACTGCTGGACTTCTCACCTGCAGAGCAGGCAGAGAATGAGGGAGCTGCTTTAAGCCACGAAGTTTGTGGCCATTTGTTGCAGCAGCCATAGGAGGCTCATCCAAAGAGGACTCCACCTCCAGCCCGAGGCCATGGGGTGGGTTCTGCAGGGGGCCTGTGTGGAACTGGAGTCTCCTTCCCAGGGCATTCCCTTCCTTCGCGGACTGTCCCCTCTGCCTGGAACCCATCCTGTCCTCGGGCCGGCTCAGGGTGGCCTCTCCGAGCTGGAATATTGCCGCCACTCCCTCCTCCTGTGCCAGCGACTCTGAGCTCCTCATCTGAGTCGGTCTGATGCCTGCCACGCCCGGCCCAGGCTGGGAGGTCAGACAGTCTGGGCTTCCAATTCCAGCTCGGTGGCAGCGTCAGGGTTCCCGCTGTGGAAAGGCCACGGGCATCCCTCTCTCCCGCTTGTTTATAAGGAGACTGCTCTTGATAAAACACTGGGGAAAATCCTGGGGACTTCCTACAACTCGGCAGCCAGGCACTGCCGGCTCCAGTCCCACAAATGAGGGGTCACTGAGCTCCCACGTGGGGCACACTTCCCTGGTCACACTCGCCCTCGGCCCTCACGTCCCCGAGCCCCTCCTGCAGCATAAGGACGTCGAGGCCCAGCGTGGGGACCCCATTTCTTCCCCAGGAGTAGGTGGTGGGGCGCTGCCGTTTCTCCTACAGCCCTGCCTTCCCGAGGGAAGGGGGAACGGCCCCTTCTGGGGTGGGCCTTCTGGATGGCTGCAGGCCCAGGCCTACGCATTTAGGACCCCAAGTCAACTCAGACTCTGCCCCAAGAAATTAAAAATAAAACAGCACTGAAGTGCACGATGCACAGAAGGAAGTCTAATTAAGTTCTGATTTTCCACAGCTCGAGGTCACCTTGATGCTTTTGTTTAACAGCAGTTTCTCTCTCCTCTCCTAGATGCACCTGTTGTGCTGGTGCCCTTTCCACGTGTGGTCGGACTCTTGGCATAGGAATGAGGATCCTGTGGTCAAATATACTGGGCAGATTCCGCCCACTTCATCCCCCTTACGGAGAGTCAAGGAATAGCCCATCAACACGTTAAATGCTCTGATAGGTCCGTAATAGTAACCTCCAACCGAGAATGCTTCTTATAAAATGCTGGCCTGGAAATTGTGGAATTCCCAGATCAGCAGGCAGGTAACGCTGAACGGCTGAGTGTGCAGCTGAACGGCTGAGGTCCCATCAGCTTGCTTGGGCTCTGAGGGGAGTGGCAGCGGTGGGCCTCCCTGGGTGCCCCCAGCCCAGTCCAGGCCCCAAAGCCAAAGGACCAGTGTGCACTGCCGGAGGTGGTGGGGTGGGTGCCGCTGGTGGGCAGGCCTGGGTGAAACCCCTCACCTTACTGGCTCCTGGCAGCAGGTGCAGCTTGACGTAGGGGTCTGCCAGCCCATTGTGGTCCATCGGCTTCAGGCCCTGGGCAGAGAACAGCAAAGAGTGTGAAGCGGAAATCGGGGAGATGGAACGGACAGGGCCTGCAGGTGCCTGGGCCAGCAGATACCCTTGTCCGCCGGGTCCATTCATGGCCCCTTTCACAGAAGCCCCCAGGCCCCACCCCTCCAGATGGAGGGAGTGAGGATGGCTCGATGCCAGTGCAATCTCCCCTCCCCAAAGCATCCCAGCCCAGGGTAGCTGTCACGGGTCCTCCGTCAGGACAGACTTTTTCTCTTCTCCTCATCCGGGAAGCCAGGAGCTCACCCTCCTCTGAGCCTCCCTCCCCACCCCGCTTTGGTCAGGTCCTTCCATCGTCCTGACTCCCCTCCCCCATCTTCCCAGCATGGCCTCCTGAGTGGTCACGCCCCTCATCGACCCTAAATCCACGTAACCCCGGGACACGGTCCGAGACTAGGCCCCATTTCTGGCCATATTTGCTACAACTCCCAATCAGTCCACAGAGATCACACAAGCCGACTGGCCACAGAGGGTCCCTCCACAAGATGGCTCCCCTCACTCACTCTGGTTCTTTCAGAAAACCTCGCCACGCACGCACAGCCAGAGGCACACAGAAGCACGGACAGATGGGGGCTTTGCTGACCTCAGCAGGCACCTGTCTCCGAAAACTGCAGTTGTTTTCCTCTGGGATGGTGCTCAGGATGCCGGGAGGCAGCCAGCATCCCCAGGACAGGATTCAAAGGTGCAGGGCCCGGTTCCTACCCTGGAGCCTGGGGAGGGGGCGTGGCTACCCACACCAGGCCCATCTCCAAGGGGACGCTGGGGCTCCCACCCAGGCCCACCCCAGACTGCTTTGATGGAGCTCTGGGGGACGTGGCAGGGGCGTCCAACCACCTACTTCCCTGCCACTGGCAAAGGGCAGAGGTCTGGGGGCCTGGCTGGCTTGGGTTCCAGGCTCAGCTCCTGTGTTCACCAGCTGGGAAGTGGATGAGTTACTAAGCCTCAGCTTTGTCATCTGTAAAAGGGGGTGGCCGGGCACGGTGGCTCATGCCTGTAATCGGTGCTTGAGCCCAGGAGTTCAAGACCAGCCTGGGCAACACTGTAAGACCCTGTCGCTTCAAAAAACTAAAAAAAATTAGCTGGGTGGGGTGGCAAGTGCCTGCGGTTCCAGCAACTAGGGAAGCTGAGGTGGGAGGATCGCTTGAACCTGGGATGCAGAGGCTGCAGAGAACCGTGATCGCACCACTGCACTCCAGCCTGGGTGACAGAGCAAGACCCTGTCTCAAATTTAAAAAAAATAAGGGCGGGGGTATAATTAATAGTCCCGCCTTCCTAGGGCTGGAGTGAGAGGGACGGAGACCGTGTGGACACAGGGTCTGGCAGGCAAGGTGTCTGCTCTCTTCTCTGCACGCCAGGCCCCTGTGAGATGCCGGAGAAGTGGCCGAGGTCCAGTGGGGGCACCTGAGCTGTGCCCTGCACTGTGACGCTGCCTCTGGGGCAGGGCCTGGCTCAGTGGCCCAACATGTGCTCAAGGTCTCAAGGCTGCTCTTCCAAACTCAACTCCCTCACCCCGGCCTTGCGCCTTTCCCACCAAGTGCCTGAAGTGCCGAGTTCTGGGAATCTGGTGGCCCAGCCTGACCAGGGGGTGCCTGACAGCTGTGTCTTATTCTTACAGTTCTTATACATTCGTTTGTTGTAGCTTAAAATGTTTCCATTTGGGCCACGTTTCTTGACACATTTCACTCACAAATCTTTGGGCCACCAGAAGTTCTGGCGTGTCTTTCCAGTGGCTCTGGTGGTCCCACCTCTGTACCCGGAGACACCTGTGGGAGCTAGGCTGGGTCGAGGGACGCTCTCATGCTGGGACAGGAGTGGCGCCTGCTCTGTCCTTCAGACCCCTGGACGGTGACGAGGCCCCTGCTGCTGCCTCTCTACTCCTCCACGCGGCAGGTCCCTGAGCATCCTGGGCAGCCGCACATTTGGCCAAAAGCAAAAGGACCAGTAGGCACTGCCTGAGGCCATGTCACCGTGCAGCCACCAGCTTCTGTGCCCAAACACAGGCACTTCCCTGGCCCTGACCTGGGTTCCACCCATGCCTCCCACGGAGCCTGACCACTGTCCACGGAAGGGAAGGGCAGGAGGCTGTTTGCAGGGCAGGGAGCTGTTAGTGGGGCTACTGGGCACATCCTCCCCGCTTGGGAGTTCGCAAGAGACAGAAACTGGTCCCACGGTTTAGGGCCGGGCGCCACGGGAGGCGATAAGGTTTGGCAGTGTCCCCACCCAACTCTCATCCTGAGCTGTGCTCCCATCATTCCCACAGGTGGTGGGAGGGACCCGGTCGGGGGGAGGCCTCTCCCACACGGTACTTGTGGGAACGAATCAGTCCCACGAGATCTGGTCTGATAAGGGGAATCCCGTCTTGCTTGGCTCTCATTCTGTCTCTTGCCACCAAACATGTGAGAAGTGCCTTTCACCTTCCGCCATAACGGTGAGGCCTTCCCGGCCACGTGGAACGGCAAGTCCAACAAACCTCTTTCCTTTATGAATTACCCAGTCTCAGGCGTGTCTTTCTCGGCAGCATGAAAATGGACTCATACAGGCGGGATGGGCAAAGGAGGCCCGGGGGAGGCCCTGGCTGGTCCTGGCACTGAGGGAACGGGGGGTCTGGCTTTGAGAGGAGAGCCTCTCCCCAAAACCCCAGCCCTACCCCGCCCTGGGCCTCTCAGAGACCTGCTGGCGAAGTGTTCAGAGGAGCTTTCTAGCCGGAAGTACCATTCAGCCTGAAAAAGGAAGTTCCACGCGCTCTGCGACAGGGATGGAGCCTGAAGCCTTTCTGCAGCGTGAAGGGAGAGACACTGGGGGGCTGCAATTGTGTGAGGTATATGAGGTCCTTAGAAGAGTCAAATCCACAGAGAAGGCAGGCAAATGGCGGCCTCCCCAGGGGCCGGGGAGGAAGGGGGAGCTGTGGTTCAGTGGGTACAGTTTCAGTTTTGCAAGCTGAAGAGGGCTCTGGGGATGGGTTTCACAGCCCTGCGAAGGTAGAAGGTACTTAGCACAACTGAGCTGCACGCTAACAATGGTTGAGCGCTGAGGGGAGGAGTAAAAAAAAACGGTTGAGGTGGGAAATTTAGATCTATGTAATTTATCACAATAATAATAAAAAACAAAAACAAGAGTCGCCCAGAACCGGCCATGCCGGGGCCACGTGTTAACTCAACAACGCTCACAACGGCCAGGTAGGGCAGGGACAAGCAACCCTCCTTCCAGATGGGCAAACTGAGACCGACCCTTACAAGGGGTGACAAGCAAGGTGCACCTGGAGGATCCAGCCCCCACCCCAGCCCTCCGGAGGCCAGCCTCACTTCAGCTCGCCCACCCTGGGCCCCTCCCCACACCCCAGCCCAGAACCCCTGCTCTTCCCCAGCCTGGGCCACCCCTTCCCCACAGAACTGGATTTACACAGAGAAGGAACTGGGCCTCCCATCCCCACTTCTGATACCTGAGGGATACAGCCCAAAGTGGACACACACTTACATGCACACACACACACACGCACCTGGAACAAGGAAGGAAAGGCCCTGGTGTCTGGCAAAGAGAGAGAGGAAGGCGTGGGCTTTGGCCAGAGCAGCCTGGCAGCCAGCACCTCTCCAGTCCCCAGGCCGGGACCACCTCTGCAAAGCTGGACAGAGGGAAAGCAGGGAGGGTCTAGCTTGGTCTCTATCTTGGCACAGCCGGGGTTTGATAAATGCTCAGTTCTGCTCCTAGAGGCGGCTGGAGCCCCTGCCAGGCAAGGCTGGGCATGACCTGAGCCACAGCACAGGTGGTTCCAGAGGGAGGGCAGGGGTGGGATGGAGCGTGCAGGCCTCTCAGTGCCCAACCAGGGCCCTGGGCCTGGCGTGGACAGCACTCACACCTACCCATGGCAGTCCACGTGTCGTGGCCCAAGCTGGGCTGGGGAACAGCCTGGGGTGGCACACAGTAGCCTGTCCTACCAGGTGGGCACGGCGCCAAGGGCAGCCCTCACGCCAGGCTGGGAGGAGGGGCAGGGAGCTACAGGTTGGGAGTCTGGGTGGGGCCCTGCGGGAGCCACTGGATCTGAGCTGGGCTGGCTCAGGCCCTTCCACGGCACTACTAGGGGGACTCCACTGGCCACGCAGGCCCTTACCTTGCGAGAGAACATCAATTTTGGCACCTTCCTCCCACAGGGAGCAACGGGGTGAGGGGGCAAGGGAACAGGACAGTTGAGAACATGGAACCAACACATGCTGACTCGAGTGGCAGAGCCAGAGGGGAGCACCAGGGGCCGGGCCGGGCTGCAGAGGGGTCCATACACATCTACAACCCCAGCCCATGTAGTGAGGCTCAGAGGGCCTCTGGGCTCAGGCCCTGGACGCCCTGCCTCGAATGGTGCCAGCCTTCTCCAGTGGCTCGGCTTCCAGGGTGCACAGTGGCGTCCCCACTCCTCAGGACGTCTGGGAGGCCTGGAGGCACCAGCACCCAACCCACCCTCCCCTGGCCTGCAGGACAGACATCACCCTGTCCCTCTCTTTCCCTCTCAGCAGCCCCTCCCCAGGCTCGGGAGGCCTCCGTCCAGGCCTTCACCTTCCCATTCTCATCTGTTTCTTTGCTCCCCTCAGTGCCTGAGTGTCCAGGGCGTTTCTTGGAGTTCGGTATTCAAGAAGGTTTAAACAAGAATTCCTTCCTGGCCCCACACCCCACACAGCTCAGACATCCGAAAGCCTGGACAGGAACCCGGGGGTGGTGTGGTCTGGTCTGGCCTCCCTGACCCAGGCCCTCTCTTGCGGACCCCGGGGCAGGGACTTTGGGGGCAGGCCGGCGGGGCCTACCTTGGCCTTGGTGATGGTGCAGTGGAGGGCGTTGTTCTCCTGGTCGTACAGCAGGCTGAAGTCCAGCGTGCCCAGGGCGGCTGCGGACAGAGGAGCGCACAGGTCCCACCCTGGCCACGTCTTGGAGAAGCTTCACTTGCCCCTGTGAGGCCGGATGGGCCTGGCCTGGGCAGGTGCCACCGTTCCATGGCGGCTGCCACCGACGGAGCACCGGCTGTATGCCAGTCCCTCACCCATCCTCCCAGTCCCACCCGACCCCGGGAAGTTACAATATTCTCCCCGCTTTCCAGAGTAGGGGCTGAGACCCAGAGAGGTTGGGGGGGTCACGCCAGTCCCCTGTCTGGCCCAGTATGTGGCCGCCTGAGCTGGGCACCCAGTCAAGGGAGTTCCCGCCCTACTGGTGCAACTGCCAGTCTGGACCCCGTGCCTCAGTTTCCCTCACCTGTGAGATGTCACAAGGATCACATGAGAGGGCAGAGGAGACGAGGTTGGAGAGAGGCAGGCCCTGGCCCATACACAGGACTGCGGCTCCTCTGCCTCTCTGGCCTTTGGGGACCCCGAGGAGGCTGTGAGGAGTCCGCTGGGTCCTCACACGGCTGCCCTCAAGTCTCTCAACGGCAGTGATAACTCCCTACAGCCGGGGGGAGGGTGCAACCGTAATTGGGTGCAGCTGCCTCCCTCCCCGGGGCAATCACTCACGGCAGCTGCGGCTTTCCATGCAGCAGCGGCTCCCAGCATGAAGGCCGAGGTGATGGTGGGGGGCAGAGGTTGGGGGCAATCCCCGGACGGCAAGATGCACATTCACAGATGGCCTCAGAAGCCCAGAGCCTGCTCCCAGGCTGCAGGGCTGGTCAACTGGTGTCACATTCATTCATTATTTACCAAGTGTTTACAATACGCCAGACTCCAGGGGATGGACATCTGTGAGGCAGAGTCCCCACCCCAAGGAAAGCACAGCTTAAGGGGAGGAACAAAAGGAAAGAATTCGCCACAGTAGACTCTGGTGAGCCAGGAGCCACGGGGAGCCCATGTGAATTGGGACCATCAGGGAAGGCTTCCTGGAGGAGGTGATGTTTCACCTGAGCCATGAGGGATAAGTAGGAGTTGGCCAATGGCACAGTGGGGCTGGGGGAGGTGATGATTCCAACCACAGGCCAACCAGCAGGTGCGGGCTTAATGACTGGTGTGACCCTGGGATAAGGGAAGGCCAAACTTGAAAGATTCTATTCTTGAGGCTCTGAGCTATGCTCCCAACATGGATCTAGATCCAATTATGGCCACACCTGACTGGGCCCATCATTTACATCTCGTCTGCGGCGCTTTCCTGCTTCAGAAGCAGACCATATGGCCTGCACAGCTGAAAATATTTACTGTCCAGCCCTTTATAGAACAAGTTTGCAGATCTCTGGGTGAGTGCTGGGCCCGGCCAGGCATAATACAGTTTCTTGGGTCTGCAGGGAAATTGGCTGATGAAAGGCCATTGGTGTGGAGTGTCCTTTATTCTAAGCTGGTGACGGGAGTGGCATTTGTGCAGATCACCCCCTTCTAACACGGATCAGGCACGTGTCTCTCTTTGCAGCAGTGTGGGGTGCAAGACCTGCCCTCTGACATCAGTCTCCTGGGTTCAAATCCCAGCATGCACTTCCCTGCTGTGTGACCAGCTTATCTAACGTCTTTATGCCTCAGTTTGCTCATCTGTAAAATGGAGACAACAGTGGTATCCACCTCACAGCACACAGTGTGCCTGGGGTGTAGGAGGGGATCAGTAGATCACTATAGAAGAAGCAGATCCCTATGGTGGGTTTTGTAGCTAACAGTACTGGCTTCTATGAGACCCATTCTGGAATGAAACTGTCCTCGACTGGATCATTTCCCTCCCTGCCTTTGGGAACAGAACATACAAATGGTCACTTAAGCTTTTCTGAATAACCTGAGTCGCTGCTATGTCTACGATTACTCTTTCAAACGTCACAGTCATAGTCCAGATGCGAACGGGGACATGAAGCAACCAGAGGGTCCCGGGTGGTCCTCTTTTCGGTTTTATTTTTCTGCCTCTTTCTTTGACATGAGCCTGAAACTCCTATTCGATTACCTGTCTATGGTAGTACAAACAGCTCTCTCACCTGTTCAGTAATTGTTTCTCCCAAGAAACCAGGTGATGATATTTGTTAGAACTATGTGCAAACTAAGAGCCAACAGATCTTGGTGGCTGGTGCGGTGCTCACGTCTGTCATCCCAGCAGTTTGGGAGGCTGAAGTGGGTCGATCACTTGAGGCCAGGAGTTTAAGACCGGCCTGGCCAACATGGCAACACCCACCTGTACAAAAAACACAAAAATAGCCAGGCATGGTGGCGCACGCCTGTGGTCCCAGCTACTCAGGAGGTGGAGGTGGGAGGACCCCTTGAGCCCAGGAGGTTGAGGCAACAGTGAGTGTGGCTGTGCCACTGCATCCGGCCTGGGTGACAGAGCGAGACGCTGTCTCAAAAATGTCAATAAACACCAGGTCTTGAGTGAAGCCTGGGGCACGTTCTCCTGAGAAGGGTACGTGTGCCTCAGCGATAGCTGCAGCTGGTACGCTAGTGCCATCTACACACCAAGCAGGTGAGGCTGCTGGAAGGTAGGTATATCCCACCGCTCCTGCAGCAATGCACACAGCCACAGCCCAAGACACACCCATCTGTGCTTTTGTAACAATATTCTCCAAAGCCGTTGGCTTTACGTGACAGTCATTCGATGCCGTTCCGGTCAGGCCTACCTGGGGTGTGCTCCCCCGATGATTCAGCCTCCTGAGCAACGGGACCATGCCTTGGCCACACCTCTGAGACCAACAAACAGATGCAGACACACGTGGCTGGGCCATTCAAGCCCACCTGCCCTCCAGGTGCTCCCAGGAGCTCGGAGCCGGTGTGACCCTCACGTGTGAAAAAGCACAGTCTGATTCCTGCTTGTTTCCCAACGCCAGAGAAGGACAGCCGAAGACGGAGTGGCTGTCTGCTCCCCCGGGACGCCCAGCTCCTGGAGGGGAGGAGCCCCTGCACTGGCTCTGCAGAAACCCCTGTCCACGGAGGGCAGCGACCTGCTCCCTCTGCTCGGGGGAAACTGACACCTGCCACCACCTCCTGGGAAGGGACAGCGCGCCCAGTGTGTCACCGGGAAGGCACTGACGAATCTCTCTGAACTCCACTGGAAGGTAAGAAATGAGAGTTTATAAATAGAAGCTCGGTCACAATTTTGAGAGGCTGGTGAAGCTCTCTTAGGGAGCACATGGCCCAACTTCATTTCCCTTCGGAGAAATGAGGCTCAGAGAGGGCAGGTGAGCTGCTCAGCGCGGCCCAGCAGACCAGGGCACAGAAACTAGGCCTCTTCACTTCCATCCTGCTAGTTTTTCCCTGGAAGCCCAGTGGCTCCCAAGAAGTTGTTTTGTTTGTTTGTTTGTTTGTTTGTTTCTGAGACAGGCTCTTGTTCTGTTGCCCAGGCTGGAGTGCAGTGGTGCAGTCACAGTTCAGCCTCCCAGGCTCAAACGATCCTCTCACCTCAGCCTCCCGAGTAGCGGGGACTACAGGTGCCCACCACCATGCCCAGCTAGTTTAAAAAATATTTACATAGAGACAGTGGTGTGTGTGTGGGGGGGGGTGTGGGGGACAGTGGTGTGTGTGTGGGGGAGAGGGGAACAGTGGTGTGTGTGGGGGACAGTGGTGTGTGTGTGTGGGGGACAGTGGTGTGTGTGGGGGACAGTGGTGTGTGTGTGGGGGACAGTGGTGTGTGGGGGGACAGTGGTGTGTGTGGGGGAGAGGGGAACAGTGGTGTGTGTGGGGGACAGTGGTGTGTGTGGGGGACAGTGGTGTGTGTGTGGGGGGAGAGGGGAACAGTGGTGTGTGTGGGGGGACAGTGGTGTGTGTGTGTGGGGGAGAGGGGGACAGTGGTGTGTGTGTGGGGGACAGTGGTGTGTGTGTGGGGGGACAGTGGTGTGTGTGTGGGGGGACAGGGTGTGTGTGTGGGGGAGAGGGGAACAGTGGTGTGTGTGGGGGACAGTGGTGTGTGTGTGGGGGGACAGTGGTGTGTGTGGTGGGGGGGAGAGGGGAACAGGGGTGTGGGGACAGTGGTGTGTGTGGTGGGAGAGGGGGAGCAGTGGTGTGTGTGGGGGAGAGGGGGACAGGTGGTGTGTGTGTGGGGGAGAGGGGGACAGTGGTGGTGTGGGTGTGGGGGAGAGGGGGACAGTGGTGTGTGTGTGGGGGACAGTGGTGTGTGTGGGGGGAGAGGGGGAGAGGGTGTGTGTGGCATGGGGACAGTGGGGTGTGTGTGGGGGACAGGTGTGTGTATGTGGGGGACAGTGGTGTGTGTGGGGAGAGGGGACAGTGGTGTGTGTGTGTGTGGGGGACAGCGTGGTGTGTGTGTGTGGGGGAGAGGGGGACAGTGGTGTGGGGGGACAGTGGTGTGTGTGTGTGTGTGGGGGACAGTGGTGTGTGGGGGAGAGGGGGACAGTGGTGTGTGTGTGGGGGACATGGTGTGTGTATGTGGGGGACAGTGGTGTGGGGGAGAGGGGACAGGGTGTGTGTGTGGGGGGGGACAGTGGTGTGTGTGTGTGGGGGGGACAGTGGTGTGTGTGTGTGGGGGGACAGTGGTGTGTGTGTGGGGGGGACAGTGGTGTATGTGTGGGGGGAGAGGGGGACAGTGGTGTGTGTGTGGGGGGACAGTGGTGTGTGTGTGTGTGGGGGACAGTGGTGTGTGTGGGGGAGAGGGGGACAGTGTGTGTGTGTGGGGGACAGTGGTGTGTGTATGTGGGGGACAGTGGTGTGTGTGGGGATGAGGGGACAGTGGTGTGTGTGGTGGGGGACAGTGGTGTGTGTATGTGGGGGACATTGGTGGTGTGTATGTGGGGGACAGTGGTGTGTGTGTGGGGGGAGAGGGGGACAGTGGTGTGTGGGGGGGACAGTGGTGTGTGTATGTGGGGGGGACAGTGGTGTGTGTGGGGGGGAGAGGGGGACAGTGGTGTGTGTGTGGGGGGACAGTGGTGTGTGTATGTGGGGGGGGACAGTGGTGTGTGTATGTGGGGGGGGGACAGTGGTGTGTGTGTGGGGG